GCTTTCTTCTCAGATAGCTATAGTGAACTATAGACATTTTTTTTAAAACTTTAGGCTTAAAACATGGAATTACTAGTTATTTCTTGATTTTATTTTTTTTATTCTTCGTTATTCAGAAACGTAGATGCATCATTTGCAGTCAAGTGAATATACATGTTGGAATGTCTACAGAAAGGTACGAAACACGTTGAGGGTTATTTGGATTTAAGGATAAATTGCCAAATTCATGTACAATAGCTGAAATGATCACTGAATGCAATTTGACTAATCATTTGACTGTTAGCTATGAATGTACTTACTGAATCCTTTCTGATTTGGCTATGTAAAAAAAAAAAAAAAAAGCCAGATTGCTGTGAGCATTGTAACAATTCAGCTTTTTTGCTAACAGACTAATTATTAATAAATTACTATACATGTCATCTAGACCAGTGGTAAGCAACCTTTGGCACTCCAGATGTTGTGGATGTCATCTGCACATTTTAGAGTGGCCTTTAATTGTGGCCTGTGCAATAATCATGCTGTCTAATCAGCATCTTGATATGCCACACCTGTGAGGTGGATGGATTATCTCGGCAAAGGAGAAGTGCTCACTAACACAGATTTAGACAGATTTGGGAACAATATTTGAGAGAAATAGGCCTTTTGTGTACATAGAAAAAGTATTAGATCTTTGAGTTCAGCTCATGAAAAATGGGGGCAAAAACCAAAGTGTTGGGTTTATAATTTTGTTCAGTGTATATATATATATATATATTTACAAATATGTTTAGCCCATCTGATGAGGCTCTAAATATGTCTAGAACCCTTCAAGTTACAGCTACAGCGGTGCTCCCTATCTACCTGGCACCAACTGTGCTCCTAATCTGCACATTACAGTTCATGTGAGTGACCATTCCATATACTACTATGTTTTCCTTATTTCTTATTATGTACAGTGGAAAAGGCTACAGAAAACTATAAGAGCCAATGAATAAAACTCATACTACTAAATATAATGCTGAAATGGGAAGCAACTACCTCCTTCCATATAGTAAAAACATGTCTGCAACATTAAATATGTTAATACTCATTGATCCACTGTGGTCAAGCAATGTTTCCAAGTTCTTATCTTCAGCAAGAGAAAATAGAGATTTAATTTTTAAAAAAATGGAATAAAAAATATATACAATTATTTTGCCAAAATTAGTGTTTGAGAAAGAAATGAGCTCAAGTGTAATGCAGATACCTGCCGTCAAAACAAAAACACACACACACACACACACATACATGTCTTTTATTCTTGTTCAAAATAAGCCCTTAACGCAGTAAAGAATTCCATGCTTGCCAGCTTTCAGGATGGCTGAAATAAGATACTAGGCTGTTGCTTAATATGTAGACATTGTAGTACTTCATTGTGCATGAATAATGTCTTAATTGGTCAATTCTTTCACAGTTTATTTTGCATTTTTGTTAAGGGCTCCTGGGCACCAAAGGTGATAAACAGGATATCCAGAAGCAGGTTCTAGTGTCAAATAATTAGGAGGTATAAACAGCATAAGTCGAGAAACAGAATACTGTATAATTTAACAGATATCCCTACTTCAATGCACATTGCTAGAACGGCAGCTTTAAAAACGGCAGCTTTCAAACTTTATTGCTTTTAACTTGATCAGGTTCTACAGCTATTATGAAGTGCTTGCTGAAGATGGGTAAGCCTTGTGCCATTTTCTGCTCTCATTACAATCTTTGTCACGGAATGAAATATTGGAATTTTAATGTCTTTCAGAGAGAGTGAATTACATCTATGTGATGTCTTATAGCACATTCACGGCACTAGTCTGACCTTTTCAATATTCCACTTTTTGACTGGTTGGCCATTTAAATTTTTTTTTTCTATTTACAACCATTCTAAACTGCGAGAAAATGCTTGTCACGGACAACCAATAGGGAAATAGATCCTTAAAAAGGTCAATGTAGTATATAGTAAAATACTGTGATATATGAGAATATTTATGACAATGGTGAAATTGCAATATATTCTTCTACGGCCTGGGAGAAGACGCTAAAGTAATAAGTGGAAAGCCATGATCCCATGGCTTAAGCAAGATCAATAAATTAAATATCTATAAATCTAAGTAGGTTGGCTTTATACATTGAAAGAGGATATGTCACTAAAAATAGTTATATAAATATATGATTGCAAGTAGTTATATTCATGTGTACCCAGATGTATGAGATTGGTGTTTTGGACGTTGCCATGTTGTGTTTATTCCAATAAAACGTCTGCAATAGGATTAACTGTGTCTGGGCTAAATCTGCATTTGGAAGTATTCGAGAGGTTTACTATCCCCTGAGTCTGGAACACCAATATATTATTTGGATTAACGTTATTTGTGCCATTCCAAAGTTATCAGCATTTATATAACACCGACATATTCCGCAGTGCTTTACAATTATAGAAAGGGAATATTTGACAGGTATGTTCAAACAAGTTTACAATCTCTGAGGATTAGAGTTAGGTGGATATAATCATTAGGTGATTTGCCCAAGGACACTTACTGCTAAGGCTGTCTGAATGGAATTTCCCAGTTCTAAGTGACATTACCACTGCTCTAACCAGCCAATACATAGCGCTTGCAATAATTGAACTGCTGAAAAATAAACTTTCTCCAAAGCTTCAGTTTTTTTGCTGACAAAAAAGTTCTTCTGTGCTATTGACTTGTAGTTTGCTCCATCTGTTCTTCCTTCAATTCTCACAAGATTCCCAGGCCCTACAGATAAAAAGCAGCTTTACAGCAGGGGAGTTGCGAGTGGGGCCAGCAAGGGATGGAGACCCAAAGGAACTCCTGAAAAGATCAAAGTCTAATTTTGACATAATTTATTGATAGGCCAGAGTATCCTGTAATACTGAGAGAGAAATAACACATCCAATTACATCATTGGTTACGGTGCCACATTAATGCATCATATTTGGAATTAATTATACAGCAAAGTGTGAGGGTATTGCTGTGGGTTAATACACCATGGCTTGAGGTTATTACAACAGGTGTGGACTTAGTAAATATAAATTTTTATAATGCTCTGAATTCAATCAATGATTTGCTGTCACAGTGTGTTTTTTAGAACAGTGCTGTCGCCTATCCCATTTGTTCCCTATTAAAGGATAATAAGTAGGTAGTGGTTTATAAAAAAAATACCCCTCTCTGTCTCATTAGAGATTTCTTTGCCTGAATAGTCAGTGTAGGACCCACCTAAGAGGTTTGCCCTGACGTGGCAGTTGGGTTTGCATCTAATGGCCATTGGAGTGGAACTAGAAACCTAAATTTATATATAATATACACAGGGATTTGGAATAGCGCTCACAGAACTTTTTTTCTTTGTTTTATAGAACATGTTTAGGGACGGAAACAGGGCTGGTATAGAGTGGTGTTGTGGGAAGGGCTTAAGTCAATATATTTGTGAGAGGGTCATACAATTTACCCGTGAGCTAAAGCTGGTAGTCTTGCTATTTGTTGCCACCACCATGCATCACTATAGAGATAGTGCTAGTTGAAGTATGGGCAGTATTTACTTTGAACCACACAAATCATGTTAAAAAGTGGCTAGAAAGCTGTGTCTTGTTTTTTTCTGATCACAAAACTGTTTCCCAGTTTCTTCAGCCAAGTCTGTCTGGTTTTGATAATAGCTTTTATTCTTACCACTCTCCCATAGAGACAGTTTAAAGGGACACTATAGTCACCAGAACCACTACAGTGTCTTTACCCTTTCCCTGCAGGCTTTTTAATGTAAACACCGCCTTTTCAGAGTAACCTCTCCAGTGTCAGACACTGCATGGAGATGCTGAATGTTCCTACAGAAATACATTGATTCAATGCATCTCTATGAGGAGATGCTCATTGGGGCCACACAATGTTTTGCCACGCATGCGCAATAGCCTCCTAATGCTTTCTTTTGTGAAAGCATTGGATTGGCTGAGATCATCAGTTTTGATGATCTCATCTATGGAGGCGGAGACAGCCGCTTTGAGACCAGCACAGAGTAAAATCACTGTTTTACTACAAAGAGAGGGAGGCCGAGGACCTAAATAGGTATTTTACCACTATAGTGTCAGGAATACATGTTTGTTCCTTTAATGCAAAATCCTAGAAGTTGTTGAAAGGTCACCTTCAGCCACTGGCCCTTTGTAGTTCATAAAAGTTTCCTTCACAAGTTTCTTTGTTTGATTTCCTAGTTTTTGATTAGTACACTATAGTGTTTATGGTGCTTGGAGTGTCCCTTTAAAGCTAAGATAGTCTAGTAGTCTAATAGTGTGCCTATAGCTGACATTGATAATTTCTCCACATGAGTTATATTTCCTACATGTGTTTTTTTTTTCTTTTTGTCCATTTTTTATAAATTGGTTCATTATACCAATCATTGAAGAAAAGCATCTTCTGTGGGTGTTTCCCAAGTCCTTATTTAACTTAATTTATTATAATTTAGCAATAGGAGGATGTGGTTCCATATTGTTTTCTTATAATAACCATATCCTTCTGTTCTTCTCTTAACTGTTCTTTGCTTGCAAACTCTACTTACATTGTGTCATAACCATATCTTTATCTTCTACTGTCTGAAACAGAAAATGTGTGTTTCTAGATTTATATACCTGTATATACCTGTATATACCTGCCATGACGTGGTACAAAACCAGGAGTTTTTTTGGTCAAAATTACAATATAACATACAGAACAGAAACACTGCACTGCACTATATATACAGTATGTATAATATAAATATATATATTATACATACGTCATTGGGACAGGTGCCTAGTTACAGTGCCTTAATTAAACCTACCTTATAGAGAGTGCAATCATGTATTGATTAAAGCAGTTCACATAGCAAATACATTACACATATAGATTACTTTTTCTCTGTTTTATTATTTAAAACAAAGTGTACTACTTCAAAGACGCCATACAATTCCCATAACAATTTCCCATGAAATTGGGAGGTTTAAATTGTTCACATTAGGACTGATCTCAATCAAGGTACCTGGCACGTGGAGAGGTGATGTACACGCTGCCATTTGGAGTATATGCAGGACCAGAATAAACTTGCATCAGAGAAAGGTTGTTGTCATTTCCCTCAAAAAGTCGGCCCCGGCAAAGTGGGCATATGGCATCATGCTGCAGCCATGTCATGATGCACTGGCGATGAAATTCATGGCAGCAGGGAAGCGCAATTAAGTTCTGCCCGCTTTCATAATCCATCAGGCAGATGCTGCAGGTGCCTGGCGTTTCTTGTCCCGTCACAGTGCGACTTCCTACCGCCCTTACTTCTGTTAGTGGCATCTCACTGGGCCTGAAATATCTGCCCGGTTGATGTATCCAAGCTAACTCCTCTCTTGATAGACGTGCAGGTGAACGGAGAGGGGAGCGGCTTCTGGACCTTTCTCTTGCGCACACACGCTGGTCAAGTTCTCTTCTGCGGAGCTCTTGTCTACTCCTTCCTCTTACTGCCATGCTAACTGCAGGCATATCATTGCTGTCTTCGCCTGTCAGATCAATTATCTCAGACTGTTCTTCTTGAACAGCTTCTTCACCTGTTAGATCAATAATCTCAGGCTGTACGATATCTTCCGCATCATCGCCAGCCAGGTCGATAATCTGAGCCTGCTGGCCTTCATCATCAGGGGTTAAGTCTACTACGTCATCAACTCTTGGCCCTGAAAAAAGTATATTCAATTCGTAAATAACATATATGTGAATGGTTTTCAAAATTTCTTTTTTTTTACAATATATGATCTTTATTAGATTTTTCAATAACTGAGCATTTCACAGATTGGCCAATGGAGTCGATCACATAGTAAGAGTTACATTTCAATTATGTAATACCGAACATCTTGAGATATTAAAGAGGCAACTATGGAAATACTGTAGTTGTACAATTGTTCAAAGATCAATTAATATTGATGCAACATCCAGACAATGTAATCAGAGATGGGTGTTAGTCTCTAAATGGGAGCGTGAGGTATAAATTGTAAAGTATGCACTCCATGTGAATTACAGGGTTGAAAAGGAAATTTTAAGAAAATACAGAATACAAAACACAATATAACTTCAAATAGAGGCACATCAATACTTCGATAATAAATGAAACACTAGGTAATGAGAGAAACTAGTTTATGACCAGTTTTGAAATAGTAAAAATAACTATGGTACAACATTTTTTTTCATCCACAAAATTGGATGAGTAGGGACAATATGAAACTCAAGAGATGAAGTGTAAGAATAAGAGTTTGTATGGGCTCCTTTAAGGAATACTATTAGAGAATGTATAGAGTGAGAATGCCTTAGATATACGATTTTATGCTGTGATCTCACTTACCCAAATTTGAAAATTCTGTGCCAATTCGTCTACCTGATAGCCGACGCCTTCTGCGAGGCGCCATCCTGACGTTCTCTGGGTCAGCTGTGTATGTGTTCGCTGTGAGTTCTCTGTCAGGTGGAGGTACTCGAAGGCAGGTAGAGCACAATATGCGTTATTCAAAATATCACAGATATTTCTGTGAATCGCTAGTGAAAATATCACAATAGCTGAATGGTAATATGTATCAATGAGCAGCCAATGACCTGTAGCATGAGCCAAGGCCAACTGAAGTTTGATGATTTAATCTCTGCAGAGGCCTTTTCTACCCATAACTTATGATGTCATATAAGCTGCTTTCTGACGTCACAGCTGTAGGTGGACTGTAATGTTTTGTAGTTAGGATTTCTTTTTTTTTTACTTTTTAATTCTGTATACGGCTAAACGCTTGTACATCTCATTGAATGAAAATAAAATCAAATAATAAATAAACCTTATAATGTGTTTATGTGATCATACTGAAATATATTTATTTGTGATGCGTTATTTATGCAAATAGGGAACTCTTGTTGAAAATATAACTTTACATCCAAGCTTTTAAGGAAGGTTTTTGCAAAAAGTGGTTGTCTGTGTTAATCCATATTCTTGCTATTTAAAAACAGTCAAATATGAGGAAAAAATGATTTTCTAATAATAAAAAGGTCAGAATAGCCCTTACAGTCGGGGCCAGATTAAAAGCCCAGTGGGCCTGGTGCTGACAATTACGATGGGCCTAATTACGGAATCTTATCGACCAAGAACACTAAAACAGTCATACCTCTCAAGTGTCATGTATTTGATAGAGTTGGTGCTGGAGGGAAACTCAAAGGATGCAGCACTACGAAAACACATACTCTATGCTAATCTCTCTCTAATTTATGCTTTCATCTTTCAAGTAAATACATACCCCCTAACAGCAGTGTCCAGTGAAGCAGGAAGTCAATGGGCGGAGTAAAAGGGTGGGCCACTGGTGCAAATCACGTGACCAGACTTGCCAAAAGGGGCGAACATGCCCAAAAAGGGTGCATGTCTGTTCAAAGAATTTGAAGGACAGCCTGGCATAAATGCATGTCAGTCTGCCTGCCAATCATGCAGGCTGTCCAACTAAGGGCATACTATGCAGGCAGCACCCTGAGCTTGACATAAATGCGTCTAATGATGCAGTCACTCCATGCTTTTTAAGGACTGTCCCCTAGCACTCACGTGTCCACTTGTCTCCTTACCTTCTCACTAGCAGGCAGAAGTTCCTGGTATATAGTCTGAGACAGAGAAAAGGTGTATGTAGTGAGTGTAGAAGAAAGGGGACATGCCACAGTGTTACAGAGACCAAAGTCTGCATTACCTAAACTAATTTTATTGTTAGCCAGTCCACACAAGTTTTGTTCCCATACATCCCTCTTAAGCTTCCAAACTTAAAGGGACACTATAGTCACCAGAACAACTACAGCTTATTGTATTTGTTCTGGTAAGTAGAATAATTCCATTCAGGGTTTTTGCTGTAAACACTGTCTTTTCAGAGAAAATAACTCCACTGGCCACTCCTTAGATGGCTGCTAGAGGTGCTTCCTGGGGCAGTACTGCCTAGTGTGCAGCACTGCCATTCAGTGTCTCCGCCCTCTGCATGCAGACACTGAACTTTCCTCATTGAGATGCATTAATTCAATTTATCTTTGAGGAGATGCTGATTGGCCAGGGCTATATTTGACTTGTGCTGGCTCTGCCCCTGATCTGCCTAGTTGACAGTCTCAGCCAATCCTATGAGGAAGTATTGTAATTTGCTCAGACCACCATTTCTGATGATGTCAGCAGACAGTCAGTTCATAGGCAGAGCCAGCAGCTGCAGACCTGAATACAAGTAATATTTTACTATATTTAGAGATGTAAGAGGGAGAGAAAGGGGCTAGATGGTGAATTTAACATAATAGGGTCAGAAATACATGATTGTGTTCCTGACCCTATAGTGCTCCTTTAAGCAAGAGTATGTGGAGAGTAGTTAGGGTTGCCACCTTTCTTGGAAAGAAATTCCAGCCTTAATCATTTGTATAATTAACAGGTTATGCGTGACATGATGTAAATCACAAGGAGTGACATAAGAGAAAATTCTGTAAAATCACCAACAAACTACTCACAGTTTGATTCTGCTGTATAGATGGATTGCTCCCAGTGTCTCCCTGTCTCCCAGTGTCTCAGTCTTGCAAGTCACCCAGTGTCTGTGTCCCTATGTATCAGAGTGTCAGTGTCCCCATGTCGCCCAGTGTCCCCATGTGGCCCAGTCACCTAGTCTCCCAGTGTCCCCATGTCTCAATGTGTTATGTCACTGGGATACTAGGGAACACAGTGAGACATGGGGACACTGAGAGACCCGGGGACACTGAGACACAACGGGACACTTGTGGATACAGACATGGGGACACTGGGAGACATGGGGACACAGAAACATGGGGACACAGACACTGGGAGACATGGGGACACTGAAACATTTGGGGACACTAAGACACTAGGGACACAAGAGAGACATGGGAACACAGACACCGGGAGACTAGGGGACACTGGGAGACATGGGGACATTGAGAGACATGGGGACACTGGCTGGGAGACAGACACTTGGTGACACTGGGAGACATGGGGACAGTTGTGGACATAGACATGGGGACACTGGGACATTTAGGGACACTGGGAGACATGAGGACACTCGGCACACTAAGCGACATGGGGACACAGACACTGGGAGACTTGGGGACACAGAGATACTAGGGACACTGGCTGGGGGACATTGGGACACTGGAAGACATGGGACATAGTGTCTCTGTGTCCCAATGTCTCAGTGTCTCCCAATGTCGCTATGTCTCACTGCGTCCCCATGTGTCTCAGTGTTCCCATGTCTCCCAGTGTCCCCTAGTGTCTCAGTGTCCCCATGTTTTCCAGTGTCCCCAGGTCTCCTAGTGTCTGTGTCCCCATGTGTCCGATAGTGTCTCAGTATCCCCATGTGTACCCTAGTGTCTCAGTGTCCCTATGTCCCTCTGCTGCCTTTCCCCCCATCCCTCACTTACCTGAGCTGTAGAGCTGCTGTCTGGACTCTCTGTGCTGTGTTGCTGCTCTCCCACGGATCAGTGAGTAGTAGAGAGAGGCAGGGATATGCTGTAACTTCCTATCCCTGCCTCTCTCCACACACAGTAACGCCTACTGGCCGGTGCTGGTATTGCAGAGTAATCTCTGTTTATTCTGAGAAAAATACCTGCATTTGTAGTGCCGGTATTACTGCAATACCGGCACGGCCAGGCAGCCTCAAATACCGGCTGTGCCAGTAAATTACCAGTTAGGTGGCAAACCTAAGAGTAGTGTGTAAAGAAAAAGAGTAAAAAAACTTATTTTTTTTTAAATGGGCCTATTACATGGGCCTGGGCCTAGGCCTGGAGCTGCAGCTCCATCAGTCCCTATGTTAATCCGGCCCTGCTTACAGTTTTTAACGAAGCCGACCCTAGAACAGGTCTGGTTCAAGCCACGACCCCAAAAGGCATTTTAAAAATGGCGGCAATTAGCCTTCCTCTGCACGTCCGGACCAGTTTCCTTTTTTCTTTTTTTACAGGTAGCATGCAGGTCCATAAGTGAAGTCTGATTGATAGTCACTAAAGACAGTTTTAGTCCTGCAATGTAATCATTGCAGTTTCTCTTAAACTGCGTGTCCCTTTAAGATTTTTACTGGCGGTCAAGAACTACTCCTTGAGAGGCAATTGTAAAGATGTAATCTTTGTGTCTTCAACCACCATGAGTAGAGGTGTAGGGAGAGAAATGTTGAGCGCTGATCGCTCAGTTTCCCTATCAAGCAGGTACTTGTTTGCTTCTTTTCCAGTTCCACTTGTGCAATATCCTAGTAATGCCCCTATTCCCCTGTTTCAAATACCCCCTACTCCTAGGATGCCCCACTGACCCCTATCTTGTAATGTCACCCTGTCCTGCCACTATTTCAGATATCCCCTACCCCAAAGATGCCCCTTTGTCCCTGCAATCCCGCCTTCTCCCCAGATCCCCCTAAATCCAGTTACACTCAGTTTCCTGCCTGGATGAGTGGTCACTGTGCACTTCCCACTGTCAGGATTACAAGTTGATCCAGCACACAATACTGTGTCACACCTAAGGCTAAGGATAGTATGTAACCGGACCTTAGAATGGCCGGATTTAACGTTTCCAAGAATAGTCAAAATACTAGCCGAGGTCAGGGACACAGAATCAGACACAAACATGAGGGAAAGCCAAAAGTTAAGGATACCAGATATCAGGGAAGCCAAAACAAAGCCAAAGTCAAAAACCAGAAAACCAAGATCAGGAGCGCACTCTCGGATAACCATATACATGAAACCAAGACAGGGCACTGAGCAAGAGGAGAACTGGGCCTAAATACTCCTCCTTTGTATCTGATTGGCTGTAACTGGCCTTTGACCCCAAAGGCAATTACCAGGTTTCCATTTGCATGATTACTGCTCAGCACAAACCCTCCTGTGGATTTGATTGCTGCTCGGCACAACTTTTCTTGTCAGGAGAGTAATATTGCTTGGCACAACTTTTCCTGCCAGGACAGTAAATGCTATTAATCAAATTTTTATATGCGGATGAATACGTGACACCCACCAGTCATTGCACTCAGGGCCCCCATCTTCCCTGTAAGTTTTCCAACATGCCACTAGGTGGGACTTACCAGCTTGCAGCACATTCACCACACAGCCGCTGTCTCGAGACTTTTCCCCCAGCGGAAGGGCAGGACCTCACCGGCCCCTGTTCCCCAGGCTGGACACAGCCAAAGAGGTTTGTCCACTGGCTGCCCCATGGCCTCTGTGCGAGGGATGCAATGTTCAGGCAAGCGGCAGGAAGGAAGCGCGTAACGCTCCTTTCCTGCTGGTCATTTCATTTGACCAAACTCACCGGCTCTGAAGCATGTTTGGCCCAGGCCTTGCCGCCCCAAAGGAAGAACCGCCTAGGGCAGACCGCCCCTCCCCCACTCTCCCTAGCTACGCCACTGGGTAGGTAGCAGAGTGTTTACAAGTGCATCTAGGCAGTAGCGTACTAAGGGGGGGGCGGAGGGGGCGGTCTGCCCCGGGTACCACCAGGGTGGGGGGTGCCATGACCATGGGGGCCGGCCCCCCCATGCTGCAGCCGCCCGAGCGCTCTGTAGAGAGCTTCGGGCGGCTGCAGCTTTGCCCGGGCGGTTCGTCCATGAGGGCGGACCGCACCGCCCGGGCGCAGCATGGGGAGAGGGGCTGACACGAGGGAAGCGCTCAGCGCTCCCTCCTGTCACTCCCTCCCTGTAGCGTGGCCGAGCCCTGTATCATGGTCCGCGGATACAGGGAGCATCTGTCTCCTGTACCCGGCCGGACTAACAGGAAGTGCACACTCAGTGTGCACTTCCTGTTAGTCCGGCCGAGTACAGGAGACAGATGCTCCCTGTACCCGCGGACTATATTGGGCTCGGCCACTCTACAGGGAGGTAGGGGGGCAGGGGAGAAAGAGAAATTGGGAGGGTGGGGGGGGTGATTGAGAAATTGGGAAGGGGGAGAAAGAGAAATTGGGAGGGGGAGAAAGAGAAATTGGGAGGGTGGGGGGTGATTGAGAAATTGAGAGGGGGGAGAAAGAGAAATTGGGAGGGGGGAGAAAGAGAAATTGGGAGTGGGGGAGAAAGAGAAATTGGGAGGGGGGAGATTGAGAAATTGGGAGGAGGAGGGGGGGAGATTGAGAAATTGGGAGGAGGGGGGGAGATTGAGAAATTAGAGGAGGAGGGGGGAGATTGAGAAATTAGGAGGAGGAGGGGGGAGATTGAGAAATTGGGAGGAGGAGGGGGGGAGATTGAGAAATTGGGAGGAGGAGGGGGGGAGATTGAGAAATTGGGAGGAGGGGAGATTGAGAAATTAGGAGGAGGAGGGGGGGAGATTGAGAAATTGGGAGGAGGAGGGGGGAGATTGAGAAATTGGGAGGAGGAGGGGGGGGAGATTGAGAAATTGGGAGGAGGAGGGGGGGAGATTGAGAAATTGGGAGTAGGTGGGGGGGGAGATTGAGAAATTGGGAGGAGGAGGGGGGGGAAGATTGACATTCATCACATACACACAATGCATTACACACACAGACACACATACACAAGCAATGCAACCGTTACACACAATGCATCCCTTACACACATTCAATGCATCCCGTACATACACAGAAACACACCTTGCAGCCCTTACACATACAAACACAATTTCACACAATGCATTCCTTACACACATATCAGGACATCCCCTACACACTCCACCCCTGTGAACAAACTCATTGGTGGAAAATGAAGGTGGACCCTGGGACCCAGACCTTGAGCTGTGTAAAGGCCCCCAAAAAATGGAGCTGCTTCCCGTTCTCCCAGAACATTGATTTTTGTGACCACAGTTACAAACAGCCTCCAGAGAGCCTGTTCTACACCAGACCAGTGGAGCCAGACTGCAGCTAGAGCCCATCATCATCCTCATCTGGTTGTAAGTAGGCAATCTAGTATATTATTTGTGGCACTAAGCTCTAATTTACCTCACATTAAAGAAACACTATAGTCCCCAGAACCACTGCAGCTTAATGTAGTGGTTCTGGTGTCTATAGCCTGTCCCTGCAGGCCTTTTAATGTAAACACGGCGGCACTGCAGCACTGGCGTTAGTTAACATGGCAAATCATATGGGTGGGGCATTGTGATGTCACATGGGGGGTGGCAATCTTTACTTTTGCCAAAGGTGGCAAAAATCCTTGCATCGGTCCTGGCTGGAGGGGGCTGTGTGAGCTGTGGCCGCACAGTGCCCCATGGTAGTTAGGGTGCCGTGCGGCCAGTACAGCTCACACAAGCAAACAGCTGATAAACTGGGCGCACGGAGGAAATGTGTATGTGTGACTGTCTGCCTGTGACTGTGTGTGACTGTCTGCCTGTAACTGGGTGTGTGACTGTCTGCAACTGAGTGTGTGACTGTCTGCCTGTAAATGTGTGTGTGGGGCTGCAGGGATTTTGTATTGGGACAGGAGTCTTTATAAGGGGGGATAAGCAGGGGATTTGTGGAAGGGGGTTGCGGGGGTTTTGTAGACAGGGCAGTACAGGATTTGTAGAAGGGGCAGGACAGAGGTTTTGTAGGAGGGTCGGGGCAGGGCAAGGGTTTTGTAGGAGGGGGTGACAGCGGTTTTGCAAAGTTTATAAATTGTAAAAAAAAAAAAGAAAGACAACCTTTAACATTTTTTACAGGGTTTTTTTTGGGGTGGTGGGGGGGGGGAGTGGGGGTGCCAAGCACAGGATCCGCCCCGGGTGCCAAATCCTCTAGGTACGACCCTGCATCTAGGAGTACCAGAGTATTAGTGTGTTTATATATCGGTATGTTAGGCATTAGAGTGTAAACATGTATGTAGTTAATTACCACAGTCAGGGATGGATTTCTATGTTTGGTGCCTGTAGAACAGAAAATAGAGGCACATCATCCTACATCTTAGGATGATCCCTGCAGGCTTTTTAAATTAAAAAAAACTCTGCCTTTTCAGAGGAACATCTCCAGTGGTAGTCACTCAGACGTCCACTAGAGGTGCTTCCTTGGGCAGTACGTTACAGTGTGCAGCACTGACATTCAGCGTCTCCACGATCTGCATGGAGACGCTGAACGTTCCCATAGAGATGCAATGATTCAATGCATCTCTATGAGGAGATGCTTATTGGCGCAGCTTGTCGTTTTTCTATGGGAAAGCATTGGATTGGCTGAGATCATCAGTTTTGATGATCTCAGCTATGGAGGTGGAGACAGGCGCTTTGAGACCAGCACGGAGAAAAGGTGGGTAAAATCACTGTTTTACTACAAAGAGAAGGGGCCTAGAAACCTAAATAGTTATTTTACCACTATAGTGTCATAATTATATGTTTGTGTATAGTTTTCCTTTAATTCACAACCCTAGATGTTGTTGACTTGTGTACCTCACTTTTAGTCATTGGCTTCTGTTGTTAATATAAGGTAAAAGCCTCTTTTAAGCTTCCTTCACAAGTTTCCTTCTTGTTTGGTTGCTGATTTTTTAAAATAGTGTTTATGGTGCTTGGAGTGTCCCTTTAAAGTTAAAATAGTTTAGAAGTCTAATAGTGTGACTACAGCTGACATTGGTAATTTCTCCAGATGAGCTATAGCTTGCTACATGTGCCATTTGGATTGTAATTGACTAGGATTCTGCAGTTAGTGAATAGTGAGAGTACTAAGTGACCAAATCCACATATTTTATTAGCATTGAAATATTTGCATCTCTGTGTGTGAGCTCTTTTCTTTTTGTGCATTTTGTATTAATTGGTTCATTATACCAATCTTTAAAAAAAAATCAATCATATTCTGTGGGTGTTTTCCAAGTCAAGTTTTTATTTTATTTTTTTAATTTTATTTATATTATTATGCTTAAAGCAAAACTATAGGGTCAGGAACACAAACATGTACTCCTGACCCTATAGTGTTAAAACCACCATTGAGGCTAATTTCCCACCTTAGAAAGGGTTAAAACTTACCTTTTTTCCAGTGCCACATGGGTCCGCCGGTGCTGGCCCCGCCTCCAATGCGCCCTTTTGGCTTACATGATCAAAATATGGAAAGCATTGGATTGGCTGAGATCGTCAAAGAGGTGAGGAGGGGGAGGGGCCAAACGCCAGCCAGGCCAATCAGCATCTTCACATAGAGTTGCATTGAATCAATGCAGAGTGTGAAGACGCTGACTAGACTGCCACAGGAAGTATCTCTGTTGGCCATCTGAGGAGTGGCCACTGGAGGTGTCCCTAGGCTTTAATGTAAACACTAATTTTTCTCTGAAAAGACAGTGTTTGCATGAAAATGCCTGCAGGGACTGTCTATACTAACCAGAACAACTACAAATGAGTTGCTGTTGTTGTGGTGACTATAGTGTCCCTTTAAGCAATAGCAGAACATGTTGTTGTTTTTCTTATAGTAACCATACCCTTTTGTTCTTCTCTTAACTGTTCTTTGCTTGCAAATTCTGTACTTACATTGTGTCATAACCATATCTTTATATTTTACTGTCTGAAACAGAAAATGTGTGTGTTTTTATATTTATATTGCAAAACCAGGAGGTTTTTTTTGGTGAAAATTACAATATAACATACAGAGCAGAAACACTGCACTGCACTATATATACAGTATGTATAATATAAATATATATATTATACATACGTCATTGGGACAGGTGCCTAGTTACAGTGCCTTAATTAAATCTACCTTATAGAGAGTGCAATCATGTATTGATTAAAGCAGTTCACATAGCAAATACATTACACATATAGATTACTTTTTCTCTGTTTTATTATTTAAAACAAAGTGTACTACTTCAAAGACGCCATACAATTCCCATAACAATTTCCCATGAAATTGGGAGGTTTAAATTGTTCACATTAGGACTGATCTCAATCAAGGTACCTGGCACGTGGAGAGGTGATGTACACGCTGCCATTTGGAGTATATGCAGGACCAGAATAAACTTGCATCAGAGAAAGGTTGTTGTCATTTCCCTCAAAAAGTCGGCCCCGGCAAAGTGGGCATATGGCATCATGCTGCAGCCATGTCATGATGCACTGGCGATGAAATTCATGGCAGCAGGGAAGCGCAATTAAGTTCTGCCCGCTTTCGTAATCCATCAGGCAGATGCTGCAGGTGCCTGGCGTTTCTTGTCCCGTCACAGTGCGACTTCCTACCGCCCTTACTTCTGTTAGTGGCATCTCACTGGGCCTGAAATATCTGCCCGGTTGATGTATCCAAGCTAACTCCTCTCTTGATAGACGTGCAGGTGAACGGAGAGGGGAGCGGCTTCTGGACCTTTCTCTTGCGCACACACGCTGGTCAAGTTCTCTTCTGCGGAGCTCTTGTCTACTCCTTCCTCTTACTGCCATGCTAACTGCAGGCATATCATTGCTGTCTTCGCCTGTCAGATCAATTATCTCAGACTGTTCTTCTTGAACAGCTTCTTCACCTGTTAGATCAATAATCTCAGGCTGTACGATATCTTCCGCATCATCGCCAGCCAGGTCGATAATCTGAGCCTGCCGGCCTTCACCTTCATCATCAAGGGTTAAGTCTACTACGTCATCAACTCTTGGCCCTGAAAAAAGTAAATTAAATTCGTAAATAACATATATGTGAATGGTTTTCAATATTTCTTTTTTTTTACAATATATGATCTTTATTAGATTTTTCAATAACTGAGCATTTCACAGATTGGCCAATGGAGTCGATCACATAGTAAGAGTTACATTTCAATTATGTAATACCGAACATCTTGAGATATTAAAGAGGCAACTATGGAAATACTGTAGTTGTACAATTGTTCAAAGATCAATTAATATTGATGCAACATCCAGACAATGTAATCAGAGATGGGTGTTAGTCTCTAAATGGGAGCGTGAGGTATAAATTGTAAAGTATGCACTCCATGTGAATTACAGGGTTGAAAAGGAAATTTTAAGAAAATACAGAATACAAAACACAATATAACTTCAAATAGAGGCACATCATCCTACCTCTTATGCAGATTGAATTAGTATAAGATCATTTAAAACCAACAGCACATTTGATACATAAGCTTAATACTTTGAGCATATGAAGACATATAGTGGGATGTATCTGCAATATCAGTTATTGCAAATATATTAATTTACCCTAAACAGAGGCATAGATCTTTCACTGTCAATCAGCCGCCATACCACATTCCATATTTTAGTGTGTTTTGTCTTGTTTGCCCTGCAGACTAAATGCTATTTTCTCACATAGGAAAGCAGAGTTGAGTCTATTTAAAACTTATTTTATTGATGGGGCTTCCTTGTTTTTTCCATTGAAAGTCAATACTAGTTTTTGCTGCAATTAATAGGTTTTGAATCACTGTTTAATGGGGCAGCGCTTCTAAGTTACAGATAAGGTGGAGTATGTAATATTATGACCTAAGAGGAAGGGTGAGTTTGGACACCTTTACGAGGACAGTTTGGATTTGCTGACAAAATTATTTTAGTACAGTCCAGTCCCAAAAGACATGTTGTTTAGTACCCACATGCACATCGCCAGTATGTTGTACATTTTTATAGATTTGGGACAGTATGCGGGACCAAATACCAGCGTCTGATAATTTTACTGTTTGCTGAGTAGGGACAAAAGGCTTTTCGACGACTGTTTAGTCAATTGTAAAGCTTTATGCCATTGTGAGATGTCAAACTGTTAGGGAGGACTCCTCTTGTATGGTAGGGAATCGTTTGATGGTGTTAGTATTATACAAGTCATATTCCCTTTTGATGCCGATTTTCAATACTTTGATAATAAATGAAGCAGTAGGAAATGAGATAAATTTATTTATGAACGGTTTTGAAATAGTAAAAATAACTATAGTACAACATTTTTTTTCAGCCACAAAATTGAGTGAGTAGGGACAATATGAAACTCAAGAGATGAAGTGTAAGAACAAGTTTGTATGGGCTCCTTTAAGGAATACTATTACAGAATGTATAAAGTGAGAATGCCTTAGATATAGGATTTTATGCTGTGATCTCACTTACCCAAATTTGAAAATTCGGTGCCAGTTTGTCTACCTGATAGCCGATGCCTTCTGCGAGGCACCATCCTGACGTTCTCTGCGTCAGCTGTGTATGTGTTCGCTGTGAGTTCTCTGTCAGGTGGAGGTACTCAAAGGCAGGTAGAGCACAATATTCGTTATTCAAAGTGAGTGAAAATATTACAATAGCTGAATGGTAATATGTATCAATGAGCATGCAATGACCTGTAGCATGAGCCAAGGCCAACTGAAGTTTGATGATGTAATCTCTGCAGAGGCCTTTTCTACCCATAACTTATGATGTCATATAAGCTGCTTTCTGACGTCACAGCTGTAGGTGGACTGTAATGTTTTGTAGTTAGGATTTCTTTTTTTTTTTACTTTTTAATTCTTTATACGGCTAAAAGCTTGCACAGCTCGTTGAATGAAAATAAAATAAAATAATAAATATATCTTATAATGTGTTTATGTGATCATACTGAAATATATTTATTTGTGATGCGCTATTTATGCAAATAGTGAACTCCTGTCCAAAATATAACTTTACATCCAAGCAAGAATATGGATTAATACAGTCAAATATGAGTAAAAATGGCTTTTCTAATAATAAAAAGGTCAGAATAGCTCTTCCTGTTTTTATCAAAGCTGGTGCTAGAATAGGTCTGGTTCAGGCCACGACCCCAGAAGGCATTTTAAAAAATGCGGCAATTTGCTTTCCTCGGCGTGTCTGGACCAGTATCCTTTTTTTTTTTTTTTACAGGTAGCATGCAGGTCCATAAGTTAACCGCACCCACACTAAATTAGCAGGAGAACACCTCCCACCTTGTGCTCTGAAAAGGGGCACAGGATGTGATGTGACTACATGGTGCTCAGTCTAACACTATAGGCAGCACGCCGGACATTGTGAACATCCTTACCCTGCAATGACAGCTATAACAGCAGGGACGGGGACACCAATCTGTGTATGAGCAGAGCGGGTGCTATCTTCGGCTAGGTCTCTGGAACTGATGCCTGAGAAGGAGTAGGGGGAGATGAGGAAGGAGGAGGGGAGAGATATGAAGAAGGGGGAAAGAGATATGGATGTAAGGGTGAAAGAGACATGGACGGAAGGGGGAGAGACACATGGATGGAAGGGGGAGAGAGACATGGATGGAGGGGTGAAAAAGAGACATGGAAGGAAGGTAGGGAAAGAGATGCAGAGCATAAGGACATCCATCATCAGTTAGGAGAACAAAAGTCTGCTAGGATCCAAGAACTGCCTCTAGTGGCTGTCGAGGAGTTCCAGAGTACTAGTGTCTTTATATAAATTACCACAGTCAGAGCTGGATTTCCATCTTTGGTGCCTGCAGAACAGAATTATAAGCTGCCACCCAGATCCCTCCCCCAAAAAGGCAGATATGAGACAGGCATTCAAAATATAAAAAACATATTTTGAAATTTGACAACTGTATATGGATATATGTATGTGAGTGCATTTCTACTCATAATATATTGTGTTTGAATCTGTGAGTATAGGGAGTGTATACACCTGTGTAGATGCATGCATGGTTACACATAATGATAGAAGTTGTTGGTTTAAAGGGGTGTTTACGGTTAGAAAGGGGTCAATGTCAGAGTTAGGCTAGGTGTGTTTAGTATTAAGAGGATTAAAAGATTGAGGAAGGTTATATATGTGGTAAAAGGCACATTTAGAATTATTTGGGCTAGTGTTAGAATGGGGATAAATCTAGTATTGGGGTACATGGTGTCCTTAATTTATTTAAGGAGTTAAACCTATGAGTGTTTACGAGGCAGAAGGTATGGTTTCAGATTCAGGCTACGCCTAAATTTGAGATTAAGGAAAGAGTTTGCTTAGGTTTTGGCAGAGGATACATTTAGGGTTAGGGAAAGAATAGTGTCTGTGGTACAGTCCTGTGGAGTTTGAAGGGTTATTTGCAAAGTACTCACATTCTTATGATTGACAACAAAGTTGGAGGTATATGGTGTCAGGGCCGGACTGGGGATTCCAAAGCAGCCCTGGAAAAAAAATCTATGCCAGCCCCAGTTGTTGCGCCATATATTGTCGCATGTAATATGTAAGGCTATGTCTTGCCACCCTAGATGATTGAGATATATATATATATATATATATATATATATATATATATCTTTTTCCAATATAAAATATTGGTTCTTTCAGAGTAAAATCTTTAATTATACAGTAAGCATACTCACATGCAGACACAGACAATCTCACTGACACAAACTGATTGATACACAGCCTCATAGACAAACAATCTCACTGATATACATAAGGTCATTAAAATAAAAACACAAGCTCACTCAGTAGCAGGCACACACACCCATACAAGCAAGCCCACTCACTAGCAGGCGCGCATACACACACACAGCTTAATGTAGTGGCTCTGGTGTCTACAGCCTGTCCCTGCAGGCTTTTCAATGTAAACACTGACTTTTTAGAGAAAAGGCAGTGTTTACATTGCTTCCTAGTGACAGACACTCAGACAGTCACTAGAGGTGCTTCCTGTGTCAGTGCGGATTGGCTGAGATCATCAAGCTTGATGATCTCAGCCATAGAGGCAGGGCCAGTTGAGGGGAGACCAGCACGACGTGAAAAAAAAAAAAAGTGAGTAAAAACACACATACACACACACATACCATGACAGACACACACCGTGACACAGACAGAAACACAGACACACCATGACAGACAGACACACCATGACACAGACAGACACACACACACCATGACAGAGACACACACATACCATGACAGACACACACCGTGACACAGACAGAAACACAGACACACCATGACAGACAGACACACCATGACACAGACAGACACACACACACCATGACAGAGACACACACATACCATGACAGACACACCTTAAAAAAGACACACGCAACTTGACACACACACCATAACACAGACCGTGACACAGACACACACGACACAGACAGACACACCATGACACACAGACACACACCATGACCCAGACAGACCGTGACACAGACAGACCGTGACACAGACAGACGCACACACCATGACAGTCAGAGACACACACACCATGACACAGACACACATTGCATGACACAGACAGACACACACACACCATGACACACACACACCATGACACAAACACACACACACCATGATACAGACACACACACACCATGATACAGACACACACACATACACTCACACTGACACACACAATGTCTACCTGGGGCTGTGGGGAGCTCCCTTGGCGGCCGCAGGGGGAGCTGGCTGTTCTGCCTCTGCTCCCCCTCCCCAGCGCGCTAGAAAGAGACCGGGCCCGGAAGATGATGCCCCCTGGGAAATTTCCCGGTATCCCGATGGGCCAGTCCGGCCCAGTATGGTGTGCATCACCTGCAAGACATTTCCTGTGTGAGAAGCTATTAGTGTGCAGATCCACTTCCTGCCCAGCCTCACACGCAGACACTGTGTAATGGGAAATCTGGCCCTGGCCACAGTTTGAATTTGTGTGTTGACATCAGAAAATGGGCAGGCATGCACTGCAGTACTGGCGTTTCCTTTTCAGAGTTTTCAGGGTCATCCAGAAAAAGTGCCTGGCCCGCCACCTGACAGGCAGCCTGGCTGACCCTAGTTATCAGGACCATTAGTGCCCACTGCACAGTGTGAGCGCCTCTAGCATGTTACATTTGAAATTGAAATTCGCCAGATTGGTTACGTTGCCTTTGAGACTGTATAGTAGCCCAGGAATTTAATTTACACCCATAATGACATACCATTTGCAATAGTAGACAACCCAAGGCATTGCAAATGGGGTATGTCCAGTCTTTTTTAGTAGCCATTTGGTCACAAACACTGGCCAAAGTTAGCATTAGTATTTGTGTGTGAAAAATGCAAAAAATGCCAATTTTGGCCAGTGTTTGTGACTAAGTGGCTACTAAAAAAGACTGGACATACCCCATTTGCAATACCTTGGGTTGTCTACTATTGCATATGGTATGCCATCATAGGGGTAATTTTCATTCTTGGGCTACCATGGGGTCTCAAAGGCAACGAAACCAATCTGGCGAATTTTAATGTGAAAAAAATGAAACACAAGCCTTATATTTGACGCTGTAACTTTTGAAAATACCATAAAACCTGTACATGAGGGGTACTGTTGTACTCGGGAGACTTCACTGAAAACAAATATTTGTGTTTAAAAACAGTAAAAAGTATCACAGCAATAATATCATCCGTGTAAGTGCTGTTTGTATGTGAAAAATGCAAAAATCGTCACTTTTACTGGCGATATCATCGTTGTAATACATTTTACTGTTTTGAAACACTAATATTTGTGTTCAGCGAAGTCTCCCATGTACAGGTTTTATGGTGTCTTGGAAAGTTATAGGGTTAAATATAGTGCTAGCAAATTAAATTCCCTATACTTTCGGCATGGGTTGTCAGGCAGGTCCCGCTAATTGTAATTAATTAAGATACCTAATTATGTAAAAATCTTACATTAATATATATGTAGAATTAATATATGTATATACATAAGTATGTGTATATATATATATGTATATATATATATATATATATATGTATAATTTTAAAAAATATATTTTTATTTATATATAATAGGTATATATATAGTGATATATACGTATATATTTATGTATATAGATATATATATTATTTCGTTCTACGTGTATTTTGATATAAATATACATATATTAATATCACAATACAGTTAGAACGAAATAACACACATCTATATATATTTTAATTATTTATTTTTAATTATTTTTTTCATTTTATTTTTTAACGTATTTACATATTTATTTTTTTATATTATATATAAATATATATAACAATAATTATATATATATTTAATCAGTATCAGTCTACGTGTAATTTGATATTAATATATATATATATAATTATATCTATATTAATAGTAAAATACACCTAGACAGTGTATGTGTGTGTGTGTATATGTGTATATATACATACTTAGATCATATATATATCATCTAAGTATATTGTTTTTTTTTACACTGATTTTAATTTAATTTAATTTAATTTACAGCCAGCAGGGGGACTAACTGTCATTACAGGCAGTCCCCCTACTGTAAATGCAGCAGCCAGCTAATCCTCGCAAGGACCTCACTCTCATGGGCGCAGGAGGAAGGATCCGCCGTAGGGGACTCCCTGGGAACCCAGGTGAGTCCCCCGACCGCGATCGCTGGCGTGGGATCGCCGGCGTGGGATCGCCGGCGACCGGGTAAGAAAAAACTGGAGAGTGTACTATTACGCCCTGCGGCGTTTAGAGCCGCTTAAAATAGGGCGTAATAGTACGCCCTCCGGTTTTAAGGGGTTAATAAAATGGAGGAGGGAGATTGTACCAGCAAGGGTGACACAAAGCAACAACTGTGCTTTATTAATTGTATTTTTTCTTGGTTGGAGTAACCCTTAAAAGTAGAACTGTCACCTCAAAACTATTTATAATACTATAACCCTTTCATCAATTATTACACGTAAATATATATATTTTTTAGATGTAAAAATAGAAATTGAGAGAAACGCATTCCTACCTCCAGTATATGAAGGGATCCGTCAGCCATATTTATACACCTTGGGTCGGACAGTGTTTGAATTTGACAGTTAGCATGTCTGATGATTTCACTGAGCAGGGAATGAAGCAGAGAATACCACAGATACTAAGTGTCGGTTTTAAATCACTGTCTGACTCAAGGTGTACTTATATGGCTGAGGATCCTGTCATATACCAAAGCGAGGGGTGAGTTTTTCTCCTCAGTTTTTTACATATACTTTATATAACAAACAATATATTTCCTTTCAAAACTTGATGAAAGTTTTATATTTTATATGAAAAAATTGTGTTGATGTGACAGTTGTCCTTGAAGAATGTCTACTTGGAGTAAGGTATTTAAATTAAAGAAATAAGTTTAGGAAATTGAAAGTTATCATGTCCATGCGTCCTCCCTACTCAATTCTCTGCCATATAGGAGTCAAATTACTTTATTTATGCAGCCCTAGCCACATCTCCCCTGGCTTGCACAGCCTCCATACACATTTCCTGAAAAATAAGTCTAAATTTATGAGCTCCTCTTATTGCTCATTGTGTTTGATATAGAATTTCCTACCTCCTGCTCTGTGAATTGCATGCCTGAGCTTTCAGGATCCCTATGTGTGTGATTAAAGGAACAATATGGTGTCAAGAATACAAAACACCATTAGGTCCCTGACCGTCCTTCTCCCCCTCCCCCCATTCCCCCCCAATGCCATGCAGCACAATAAGCATCTCCTCATAGAGATGCATTGAATCAATGCATCTCTATGCTAAACGTTCAGTGCCTCCATGCAGCGCGTGGAGTCACTGAACATCAATGCTGCACATTGTAACCAATAATGGTAACTACGACTGGGCACTGAGAAAAGTTTAAAATGAGCTGGAATAGCCCTATCAATTATCATGGCTGAGAATACAGAGCCATATGAGGACTCCGTTTGGAGAGACCGGTGTCTGTCAGAACCCCAGAGGAAAACATGGGCAGAGCAGATGGAAACGAGTGCAGCACCTCCGGCACGTGGACGAGCCGCGCCACAACACGCCGCACGGAAACACAGTTGTGGGTGCCGTGACAGTGAGCCCTGCAAGAGCTCCACGCAATAGAAATTCCAAGTTGGGAAAAACTTTTACAAAGGCTTTCCCATGCTTTGAAATGTCAGCAGAGCACTCTGATTGGTTGGCTTTGGCAGGCAAGTCTCATCTCTCACAAAACTTGGCAGGGAAATCTCATGAGAGAGTGCTCTGATTGGTTGGCAGTGACATGTCCACACACTATTATTGAATTTTAAACTGACACCTAATGCCCACAGATGGGAGTATGAATGGGGGGCTGGAGCTAGGTCTCTCCTGGTATTTTACATGTATTTTAGATGGCAATAGCTGCCCAATTGCTAGTTTTTAATTATAGTCAGCAGGCAAACTATGTACAGATTTTTTAAAGATTTTTATTTTAAGCTTCCAGGCCCAGATTTAACCAATCCGGGGCTGGAAGTTCATCCAGCCGCCAGCTTTTGGTCTGAAATTCAGACCAAATTCAGGGTCATTTGGAGCCTGCTTTTTTAAAAATTCAGACATTGTTACATACTGTGAAAAATATGTGGATTTTGCAGTTGAATGGCCCTGTACTGCAGTGAAGGATTTTGCCCCATTTGGTACGAGGCTATTTAAACTTAAATAGCCCTGTAAGGTTCACTTTGAAGTTTATGTAATAAAGTTTAAATTATAGGGAGGTGAAATTGAAAATCTCTCTTTGAAAGTTTAGATGAAAAGAGCAAAACTGACAATAAAGGTAGGAACAGGTAGGTAGGTCAGTAAACACTGTTATCAGTACCTCTACAAATTAGGTAAACAGGGTGCAAAGTGAAGAATAAGCTATTGTACTATTTCCCTCTCTTTGCAGAATTGTTTGTTGTAAAATGTTCTTTTTTATATGTCTGTTTGCACTGTTCTTATTCTATTTTAGAACAACCTGTTTCGGCACATGCTATATCTGCCGTATTAATTTTGCTTTAAATGTGTTATCATTTAAAGAAATTCTATTTTTTAATAAAACATTTTTACAAACATAAAAACACAACAAAAGTAGTCCGATTACAAAGTGAAGGAACATATATGAAAGAGACTAGCACTGAATTGTGTGTATAGAGAGGACAGGGCACTAAGAAATAAGTCTTCTATGAATAGGGGTCCTTTAAAGCATAATCTTATTTTAAAAAATGTATACTACATTTTGTTATTAATGTCGGTTAACATTGAAATCTTTATTTTATATGTAATTGGTAGACGTGCATTTGTCTTTAAAT